GAAAGAACTCGTTAGGTAAATAATCCAAAGTCCTTTAGTATTTTTATTATTTTCAAAAAATAGTGCTCGATACAAGAGTAGAGCATAAATATAATTATTTATTTAAAAATATGATTCCAACACGCTACATAAGAGTTCTCATGTTTTAAAACAAGAGCCGAAAACTTCAATATAATCATTTGAATTAAATTGAATTAAAGTACTAAGCTCTGTTCCATCTTCAAGCGAATTTTTTTTGGAAATAACTTATTCCTGAAATTTACGCGTTTTATAAGCATATTCATTATTGAAATTAAAATTGCTATGCTAACGGCTATAGCAATTGCTTAAAGAAAAGGGTCGTAAGGTTTAATATATGTATATATAATAATAAAAATAATCGACTCTCCCATCGAGATTCGACGTATGAGGGTCATGCATATCAGTTTCCAGGAAACCGACAGCCCGACACCGGCACATGAGATTTGATTATAGTGGTGAAGGCCTCGTGCAGGACCATCCACACTTTTTGAATGGACGAATACAGAGACCTGGTGCACCGAATGCCACAAGGTTCCCAAACGACCCTCCGCAGGTTTTGAATTCAGAGTTGTCCTTCTCCTAGACCAGTTGCCATCCAAGGAAACTGGTCTAGGAGAAGGCAACCCAGTCTATCCTGCTATTTTACCCATAGCTGGAGGGAGAGGAAGAGGATTCATACCTTTCCCAAGGGTATTAGCATGTAATGGATTTGACTTGAATTCGAACTCGGCTCTGCGATTCCTCAATCCAAGCCGCTATCCATTACTCCACCGTACCTCTATATATATATGGCTCCGAATTAATGTTCTATCCGCGCTATTTATGGCTATACATTTGACAATATGGTGTCTAATGCTGATCTCGCAAAATGCAACAATGGTGGAATTGGAACTTTCCTGATGCAGTTACAACTTCACAGGGGTAGTCATGTTGCAATGATGCGTGAGGACAGAATACCTCAAGGACTGTTGGACGACCTTGGTTCAGTTCTGAAGACAAGCCAAAGAGTAACCACTCTGGTGTTAATGTGCCTCATACTAACTTCGAGCGAGTTGCCCTGGATAGAAATAAATGTGCAAGAATTAAATCAGAAATTTTGAAATCAATCTTATTGACCGGCTAATAGACTAAAGACAACAGCGAAAAGCGTCAGCAAATATTCCTGTTCATATGGCCCGAGGTCCTCGCTGTGGCACAATATGTGGACTTGTATGCTGGTCATTAGTAAAACTGAAGTTTCACATACGCCACAAATATAAAAACTGAATGAGGTTGTTGGATAATCATACGATGAAATCAACGAGTCCATCATATGTTATATATATATATATATATGTGTGTGTGTGTGTGTGTGTGTGTGTGTGTGTGTGCAAATATGTAGAAAAATAGGCAAGAACACGTTGTGGCACCATGCATCCACGCGATTTGAAAGATATATTTATAGATATATGATTTGCTTTTTTACGGTTTATCAACCATTTGAGGATTATTTAAGGCCGAAAAATATTTTAGGTTTTAAGAATAATTCTTTCTTCTTTTTGCGAGAGGATTGAACCGCCATGCATTCAGGCGATTTGGGAGAAAGAAAGAAAAAACGAAGAAGGAGAGGAAAAAGTAATACGAGACGGGTCATAAGCGAACACACACACACACACACGGCTTAAGAGACGAGAATAAGGAAAAAAAGGGTTATTGTTGATAGGTATCAAATGTCGAAAATATCTAGGTCACCTACGAACAAGCGTTGACCGATTTCCGCTTATCCGCGAAAAATGGAATTGTGTTATCAATAGATGTCACCAATTAAGAAATCCATTTTGAAAACGTTAGATTTTGATAATGAACAAAACGCAGATGTAGCTTGCAGTCTTGACTGGGTGTGGAAAATTAAAATCCCACACAAGCAGTTTTCACTGGCTAAGTTTTTCTTTTGACAGAATAGACTTTTGCCCTGCGATAATAAAAATTTTGTTATCAACACATGAGTCGAAGGAAACTGACATATTTTTATTTCTGCTTTGGAGACGCCAAATTGGCTGGAAACTTGGAGAAAATTCCTTTCTTAGACCATGTCAGATAATCCAGCTGTCCAGTGAATTGGCGATAAACTGCTTGACAAACGCCACGTGTTGAAACCGAGAGTTGTCACATCAACCGCTCATGATAACGGCGATTTAATTAATTTTTTTTAGTTAAGCAAGGTATTTCTTTTTCAAAACAAAGCCACGGGTTGTTCACGCCCGACTAAGACGTCATTGGCCAAGTGGATCACATGACGCACGAAGGAGGAGGAAAGATACCCGACCAGGACCTCATTGGCCGAGAGTGGTCACGTGACGCACGAAGAAAATCAGTCGACGCCCCTATCCAGAGTATAAGTATGAGAAGCCGCTACGAGGAAGTGGGGAGGGCAGTTCACGCCCCTCAGAAGCATGGTAGGAGAGTGGGAGTGAGAAAAGAGTTACCAAAAATGGAAAAGAGTGGAAAATCCCTAACCAGAAATAAGAAGGGTGGATACGTATTTAGAATTATCGAAGAACCCCTGGCGCCGACAGACCCACCCCAATTTTGACGGCGTCAATAAAAACGAAGCCCCACCAGACAGAAATCAGTTCAGCCCCGGACGGCAGAGGGAAGAGTCCGTTCGCCCCAAGCGGGCAGAAGAGGCCAGTTCGTTTGGCCCTGAGTGCCGAGTTCGTTCGACCCAGGCTGGAGAGATGAGTTCAGCCCCGGACGGCGGAGGGAAGAGTTCGTTCGCCCCTAGCGGGCAGAAGAGGCCAGTTCATTTGGCCCTGAGTGCAGAGTTCGTGCGACCCAAGCTGGCGAGAAGAAGTTCGTTCGCCCCGACGGCAGAGATGAGTGCCCAGTAGTTCAGACTCTGGAGAGAAGAAGTTCGCGCACCGACGGCAGAGATGAGTGCCCAGTAGTTCAGACTCTGGAGAGAAGAGTTAGTTCGCGCACCGACGGCAGAGATGAGTGCCCAGAGTTCAGCCCCGGACGGCAGAGAGGAGTGCCCAGTGTTGAAACCGCCTCAAGATAGCTGACCAGATTCACCCAAAATTTTGGACTCTTCTGCAACCAAGAACAAGTAGTTTGAAGAGCGACTTAGAACCAGACCACAGAAATAAGTTTTTCGATTTCGTCCAAAGACACACCGAAACACAAATTTCTTTGAGAGTAGACAACTTGAAGCGTTAAAATTCGCCTAGCGAAAGAGTCGTGCCACAGTCCACAGAACGGGTCGGGAGGTAGACACAGTCCTATGTACCGAACAACTAGACATAAAAAGTTTGTTACCTTTTTCTTTGATACTTTGAACTTCGTGAGTTTTCATTTTGTTTTCTTTTATACATATTTGTGTGTTATCACCCCCGTTGAACTCAGCTTGCATTACGGCCCCAACCCCTGTTTGATCTCGTCTGTCTAAGATCAATTCACAACGTGGGTAGGCAGACTGGAGATCAGTGTAGTTACCCTGGTAATCAGGCGTTGGAAGCAGGTTGGGAACGGCGAGGTTGATATCAAATCTAACCGGATTCCTACCCGAATCAGAAAAGGGTTAGAACGTCACGCTTGGAGCAGCGACACCCGGACGGAGCAGCGAGGAGCGAACAGCTGGCGCGACGGCGAAGACGTCACAATTGGTGCTGTTTAGGGACATCACAACTGGCGCCCTGGTAGATCAGGATAGAACGTCACAGTTGGCGCTGCGACCGGGGGACGACGTCACACGTTAGGTAAAAAATCTGGAGCTGTTTAGTATTTTTGTTTCGATTTTTAAAAAAAAAAACAGTGCTCCATACAGAAGTCGAGGTTAAATTATAATTATTTTTTTAAAAATATATGATTCCTTCGCTACATAATAGTTATCATGTTTCAAAATCAAGAACCAAAAACCTCAATATAATTATTGAAATCAAATTGAATTGAAGTAACAAGCCCTGTTTCATCCTCAAGCGAAAATTTAGAAATAACCTATCTTGAAATTAAAGATGCGTAAATTTCAATATGAACATTGAAGTCATTGAAGTTTCATGCTCGGCGTAATCGTCAGGCCTGACGATTGCCTCTAACATGAAACAGACTGTCGCCTCTAAGTGTTGACTTCAATGTTCCTTTATATATATATATATATATATATATATATATATATATATATATATATATATATAGTGATCCCTCGTTTATCGCGGTAGATTAGGTCCAAGACCGGCCGCGATAACTGAATTTCCACGAAGTAGCGACGCCATATTTACACTATTTATTTAACGTTTATTTGGGCTTTTAAAACCCTCCCAGTACTGTTAACAACCCATCTATTACAGTACTCTATTAATAACAAGGACAACTGTTAAGCAATAGCACTTTAGATTTTAAAGAAATAAAGCTTATTACTGTATTCAACACGAAAGAAGTTGAAGTAGAATTTGAATGATGATGGTGATGAATTTGCTGCACAGTAATAATGATGATGATGAAACTTATGATAACTTCTACTGAGAAGCCGATAATTGTATTTTACGTCTCTTCGGGTAGCGGCGCCCTTTCTAATGCCATTTTAAGCTTGTTTTGTTGTTCTTAGACTAGGAAATAATATTTATTATTAATAATTTAATGGGTTTAATGAAAAATTGTTGGTGTTCATATATCACGATTTTTCTAGAATTATACAGAAACTCCGCAATATATTTTTTATATATATATTTTAAAAATCTGCGAAGTCGTGAATCCGCGATAGTATAACCACGAATTAGCGAGAGATCACTATATATATATATATATATATATATATATATTAGAACAAGATAAAGAGAGATAGGGAGAGATATGGGATCTCGTCTGTCCTGACATCTAATCCATAGCTGAACTGAGGTGGGAATGGTGATGCATTCATAGCTTTCCCAACAGAATTTGCTCATAAAAGAATGCAGTGTAGTCGACTGGACTTCAAATTTACTCATTCGGAGTCATTATTCATTAGCACCTGGTATTCTTAAACGGTCACCCATCCAGGTACTGACCAGGTACAACGTTGTTTAACTTCAGCGATCGCAGGTAAACCGGTGTTTCAACGTGATACGGCTTTAATGTTATAAATTCCATAAAGCCGGGTGAAGCGATGAAGATAATTTTATTTTCTGCTCCAGAAGCCATCACCATAAGCGGACATGTCCATGTACAAAATATTTGTCTGTAGAGAAACATGTGTTTTGCGAAGGTTGTTGCTTGATTTTGCTTGGCGGTAGGTCAACCTCTATGGATTATGGTTTGGTTTGGTTTATGGCATATCAACGCCTCAATGGGTTATTTAATGCTGGCAAGATTTTTATTGCTGGTAATATTTTTTATCTATCTATCTATCTATCTATCTATCTATCTATCTATCTATCTATCTATCTATCTATGTCAGTATATATTGGTTTAGTTTATTTTGCTTTACGGCATATCAACCTCAATGTGCTATTTAATTCCGACAAAATTTTTTATTGTTGTTAATATTTTTTATTTATCTATCTATCTATCTATCTATCTATCTATCTATCTATCTATCTATCTATTGGTTTGGTTAATTTTGTTTTACGACATATCAACGCCTCAATGGGTTATTTAATGCCAACAAGATTTTTATTGCTGGTAGAATTTTTTCAAAAATGTACTGCTGGTAATATTTTTTTTTCTAAAAATGTATTGCTGTTATAAAAACCTATTTTTACACTGCAGTTTATCGTCATACCCAGGACACTACATTGGGGATCTTACCCCTCTGCAGAGGTGTAGTAGTATTCTGAAGTCCCAGCCGACAAGGAATACGATTGGTTCTTTAATGCCAAAATATTTTGAGCGCATTTGCTTTTTTTTTTTTTTTTGTTATGTTTTACGGCATATCAACCTCAATGGGTTATTTAATGCCGACAAAATTTTTATTGCTGGTAATATTTTTTCCAAAAAATGTATTGTTGCTAATATTTTTTTCCAAAAATATACTGTAATATTTTTTTCCAAAAATATACTGTAATATTTTTTTCAAAAATATATTGATGATAATTTTTTTTCAAAAGGCAATAATTTCTGGTAATAATGTTTCTTTTTTTCAAAAAAAAAATATTGCCGGCAATAATTTTCTTTTTCAAAAAATGTACTGCTCGTAATAATTTATTCAAAAAACACCATTGCTTGTATTAAAACCTGTTCTTATACTTTCATAGTGTTTTGACCCCAGTTTGGGGGTTAACTATTTGCCCATAGCTGGGACCCTAACAGGTGCTACCACCCCGGGTCAAGGTGAACCTGGGAACACCAGCAATTAAGAGGTGGTTCCACGTTCCTCAAAACCTCCAGATTAGAGTCCTTGCTGTCGGATACACTTTATCGTCATACCCAGGACACACACATTTGTATGCCTTCAACTACAGATAAAATATATTGTTGGTCATACTAATATAAAATGTCATTTTACTATAAATAGGTATTTTGGTATTTTTAATCTAAAAATATATTTTTATACTTTCATAGTGATTTCTTTTTTGATAGTTCACTATTTGCCCAGATCTGAAACCCTAACAGGTGCTACCACCCTCAGATGAGGGTAGACCTGGGAACACCAGCAATTAAGAGGTGGTTCAACGCTCCTCAAAACCACCAATCTCCCGATTAAAGGATTTGCAGCCGGATGTAGTTCATCGTCATACCGAGGACTGTTTTCTTTTCTCACAGAAAAATACAGGTGAGTAGTGATTTTATCTATAGCAAAACATATTAGAGAGCGACTTTGGTAAACATCATTCAATGTCTCGGAATCACTATCGCTGTTGTATTCCATTAGCAAAGCAGTGTCGGAAGAAAAAGTATTTACTCTTAGGGATATACGGGGTGGGGTGGAAATTATTTATATCAGCTCAGAAGGCAACAGAGTGTTGCACCATTGCGGCGATCTATACGCAAATCGTATTGCATCTTAAAACGCCAACCAAGAATACTGACGGGATCTGGCGTAGTTTCGACGGGAGACGTGCTTGCTATGCAGGATGCGCACTGGACGGTTCCAGGTGTTGATTACGTCTTTCCTGCTGCAGGTCCCAAACAATATTGGCTTAACTGTCTCTTCTGACATTGCAGCCTATCTAATGCTCTTTATTTGGCGGTAGCATTATGGTGACGATTGTGGGAATAAATAAGGTTATCCAATGGAATATTCTGGCAACTGGAGAATTATTTTATTATTACACGTCGTTCAGATGAGTTGCGGAATAAATAGATATTTCGAACCAATGAGAAGTGACCATTTTCCAAAAGGCAATATGAGAATAGTAAGGTCTCGTTGTCACTCACGTTCTCGTTGTCACTCACGTTCTCGTATTCCCCACCTTTATCATATTACTCTCTTTCAGCTGATATATCTATCTTATTACATTTCTTCAGCTCATATGATTACGATATCATATATTTATCGTATATTCCATATAAGTGTATAAATGATATATTTTAAGGATCAAATATTTAAACGATATATTTGATATATAATAATGTATAAATATATAAATGATATATTCTCGCCATATTCCAACTTACATAATATTCATTTGTGTATATATGCCCTTCAGTTGTTATCTATTTCTGTATTTGCATAGATACATCATAGATTGTTTATATACATCTATAAATCATTCTATATATGTATATATATCATTGTTCATAAATATCTATCTATTTATTTATCTACTTCTCTCGAGATATATCTGTGAATATATATATATATATATATAAATATGTATATATATATCATATATAGGTCGACCTCTATAATTTATATATACGTCATTTATTTTTCATATGTATCTATTTTAGTTTGATCATTATATATCTCAGTCTGCTGATTATATATCTATCTCTCTCTATATATAATATATATATATATATACATATACATTCATATATATATATATATATATATATATATATATATGTAAATAATCATAGATAATTTATACCTATCAGTATATATATACCATAGATAATTTTATATATATATATATATATATATATATATATATATACATATACATACATATATATACAAGTATGTATATATAAATAATCATAGATTATTTATAGCTATCTGTATATATATATCATAGATAATTTATCTGTATATATATATATATATATATATATATATATATCACTGACATTTATATCTATCTCTAAATATATATATCATTGATAATTTATATCTATCTGTATGTATGTACACACATATATATATATATATATATATCATAGATAATTTATATCTATATGTATGTTTTATATATATATATATATATCATACATAACTTATCTCTCTCACTCTCTATCTCTCTTCTCTCTCTCTCTCTCTCTCTCTATATATATATATATATATATATATATATATATATATATATGATTAATAATTCATATCTATCTATCTATCTATCTATCTATCGAAGCGTACAGAACGCGGATTGGGGAAATCATTGCTTCGTTTACCTCGAAAGTTGCGCGAATCGGTTCTTATTGATCTGGATCTGAAATAAAATCTACTTACACCAAATTGCGATTACTTTGGCCAGAATTTCCTTCAATATTTATATAATCCTGTGGATAAATCTAGCCCGATATTTTTAAACCGTAAAAATATGTACACACACACACACACACACACACACACACACACACACACACACACACACACACACACACACACACACAGAGAACGAAATCGACACAGACACACAAGGATATATATATGTATATACGATGTCTGATCAAAAAAGCGTCGGGACTGTTGCTATGGCAATGGAGTTAAAATCCGATGATTGATGCCGTTTGGAACAGTTTGACCTTAAATTCTGTCGCGCTTGCACACTAAGTTATGACGTTCTCGCTCACTTTTGTTGATCATCTAATGCTTTGAAGGAAAGTGTGTAGAGTGTGGTCGTCTCACGACATCACAGAGGTTCCATCAGTGATCATAGATTGTGCAGCTGTTTTGGGCCAAGACAATCGTACCACCATAATCCCCATATTTCATACCTTATGGCCTTTTACACTTCAAAAATCAAATCCCACTTGAAAGACGTCGAGGAAATCCAAGATAATGCCACGAATATACCAGGTATAACTGCAAAATTGTCTAAATCTATTTACAGCATAACTGTTCATCACACAAAATGTTTCATATCTAAAAAACATGAACAAATTATGTTTCTTTTTTCCAGGTTTTTATATAAGACGTTTAGACATCTTCACACCATTTGACGTAAGAATCACTGAAAAACCCATTGAGTTATTCAGCTAGAAAGCGAACTGTCTTCCTGCTGAGCAATGGCTAGAGGAAAAAGATGATCCAGGTCTTCTGTAATTGTACCAAAATTCATATTCAGACGTCCATCTTCAAAGTCCATTAAAGAACCATAAAGAGAACGGTGAATAAGTTTAAAAAAGTTTGAGAAAGAGAGGAAAAATGGATCCGGAGGTCACTATGGGAAACAAGGATCATCATTTCAAGTTAGAACTAAAGAGAGCAATTTGAAAAGACCCCACTCAGTTTCATAAGAAGTTTGTTACGTGAGAGGCAAGTTTCATCTCTGACAGTCCAAAGAGCAGTGACAAAAATTTGAAAATGAAATCGTACATGAAACGTGTGAGACAACTTGTTACTCCAGGACAGAAAGTTAGAAGGTTAGAGAGGGCGAAGATCATCCCGAATGAGTTGGAAAATAATTCTGGAATATATATATATATATATATATATATATATATATATATATATATGAACTATATTTCAATCCTTCAAGAGCTTCCGATCCTTAGCTATGATGAATTAATGTCATTTTTGTTTATGATCGATATCATCAGAATTCTTCTATTGAGCTTGGAGAGTAATTATACACACTTATTGCTCAAAGTAGAGTTCAGTAGTATTACAAAAACTTCGGAAATTTCCAGTAAGATATCTTTAATCATTTCTAACAACAAGGTTTCAAACCTTCATTTAACAAATTGGATAATTTTCTGTTTGGACAATTTTGTTGTTTCAACTGATATATATATATATA